AAAAAAAAAAAAAAAAAAGAAAGACTTCAGTTCTTCAACCGTATCAGTTATTTAGGCTGCTTAGGGGAACTATTCATATTCTGAAATCCTAGAACAATATTTTACAAACAATGGTCCACAGATTTTTAACCAAAAAAATCCAAATAATTTTACACTACTTATTTTCATAGAATTTCTGAAATAATTCTGGGTAGCTACAGGAAGTGAGGCTGTAACAGGTTGTCTTTATGACTATTTATTTATTGTAAAATGAAGCCATGCTTAAGTAAGCAATCTTCTTCCTTCTGGAACAAGTTATAATCATTGGCAACATAGAAGTTACAATAAATAATGGCCTAGTTCTTCTTAATTCAAAATTAACATCCATCATATTTTGTCATAGTGGGAGATATGAGATAACAATACTGTGAATATCAGCAAAGCTATAAAGCTCATGTATGATGAAAATTAGAGGAGAAAAATAAAGCACAGCATAGCTAAATGATTTATAGAGGGACAAACAAGTGTAGAATGTGGTAAACACCCACATTCTAATTTGTATAGTTCATTGTGGAAAAGTTTTATTTCCTACAAATTTCAGTACTTTATCAAGGTCACTTCTTTGGCACTTTATTCTTTTGAAAGAAGTGAAAGGCACAGTTGTGGTACTAAAGAAAAAAATATCCTGTCTATTTCAAAGTTTCTTGTGGCTGACGCCCCACACGACCACACTCCACACCTTTGATCTTGCATTATCTTCCTGGATGATCGGGCAGACACTCCCGGGAGTGCACCATTCAGTGTAAATCCCATGTGCCCATCAGCATTACACTTTCTGCATAAAATTCCTAAACTTTCTAGCATCCCTCATCAGAAGCACTGCAGGTGCCATGTTTAGACAGCAGATAGTTGCAATAATGAGCAAAGAATATTGATTTTATTTCTTTATTCAGAATATTATTTAGAATATTTCTTTATTTCTAGTTCATTTAACTTTATTTTGCTGCTAATTGAAGTTGTACTGCATTTTCTTGTCCAATGGAGATAAACAATAGAAAATAGGGAGTTGAAAAGCTGTGTAGTTGGCAGCGCCTCTGTAGAAGTACTTCTAGATATTTATTAATGTCTGCTATGTCTATCTCCCATTCAAATAGCTCTGGATTTATCCTCACTGGTTTTATTGGCCTAGAAGGTTACTATCAGTGGGTCTCCATCCCTCTCTCAATCATCTATGCCATGGTGTTCCTGGGAAACTGCATGGTGCTCCATGTGATTCGAACTGAGCCGAGCCTGCACGAGCCCATGTTCTACTTCCTGGCTATGCTGGCCCTCACCGATCTGTCCATGGGGCTGTCCACCGTGCACACAGTGCTGGGTGTCCTGTGGAGGTTCATTCAAGAGGTCAGTCTGGATTCCTGCATTGCTCAGTCCTACTTCATCCATGGTCTGTCCTTCATGGAGTCCTCTGTCCTCCTAGCTATGTCCTTTGACCGCTACATAGCCATTTGCAACCCTCTACGCTACTCCTCCATCCTAACTACTGACAAAATCATGAAGATTGGCATAGCAATCTTATGCAGGAGTTCTTTACTCATTCCTCCAGTCATCATCCGCCTGAAGTTTTTAAACTACTGCCGCCCTCATGTCCTCTCTCACTCATTCTGCCTCCACCAGGACTTAATCAGAATAGCCTGCTCAGATATCCGCTTCAATAGCATCTACGCTTTGGCTCTGGTGATCAGCACTCTGTTGTTGGATGCAGTGCTCATCCTAATCTCCTACGTCATGATCCTGCACACAGTTTTAGCCATTGCATCCCAGGAGGAGAGAATGAAATCCTTACAAACT